CAACATAGAATTATCTTTTCTCGTCCTTGTGCAAGTCATATTCGCGAAACATGATGGACAAGCATGGACTTCATGTAAGGAAAACATAGTAACAGACTAATTTGCGCAACCCCCGCACGGTTTTGAATTAAAAACTGAGCTCCTAACAGGCTAACACATGCTCCTATAAACCACAGAAAGGACTCGAGTTAATATATTTAACTGCCCGAAAACCAGGTTTCCTATACTCTGATATATCAAATACTCAAGATTCTGAGAAACAGGTCAAATTATTAAATTCATTCACTCATTCGTTCGTTCATTCGTTCATTACATGGCATAACATAATCTACGACCTTCAAGTTTTTAATGGACTGCATAATCATGCCGACAATAAAAAATATTGGTTTACCTTGGTGACAATTAGTGCGTAGGATGAAAGAACAATCTAATTGCAATACCGCATGTAAATAACGTTCGCCAGACTTCGCCTGCTGTGCTTCATCGGCAGAGTGGCTGAACGGATCTGGCCTACGACAGGTACGCGCTCACCTAAAGCCGACTTCCCACTAGATGGAATTTTGCGCGCGGAGTGGAATTTTTCTTTATCTCTTCCTATTAGTTCCACCGAGAAATCACATATGACAAAATGAAATTCCTCTCCGCGCGCAAAATCACGCGGACGCAATTCGACTGACACGACGCGATTTTTTAGTTTTTGAAACGGTTAATAAAACAGCCAATGAGAGCAAATTTTAAAAGATATGTAGACCAAATAACTCAAAATGTTATACCGTTTAAATCGAAAAATCGCGTCGCGTGGTCGAATCGCGTCCGGTGTGTCTGGACCTTTATTGCAACCTCGTACCCAGGCCCGCGGTTGCCTTTAGAGGCCTAGGGACTATGCTGTAGTGGCACAATTACTGCGGTACGTCCGCGTTCTGTTACGAAATTCATATCAGAGTTTGGTTTATATATGCTTAAAATACTCATTAATAATTCATAAACCTTGTGGCTAATCATGTCAGCCATAATATGTCACGTGGAGTGACTTAATTATTAAATCTCATCTTCATTAGTATTCTTTATACTTGTTCATCCTAATTGGTATGATTATATAATTGTTCATCCTAATAGACCTTTCCCCTTTTAAGTGAAATTTTGATCTAGACAAGTCTGGTCAAAAATTTTATCACAGTTTGAAAGAGCATTTGCAAAATGTTGTAAAATGCGGTTAATATAGCGTTGCGAAGTTTGCCGTTTTTCAGTCATTTTGCATTACAAACGGGAAATTGATAATCAGTTTGATCATCTGATTATCAATTTCCCGTTTGTAATACAAAATGACTGGAAAACGGCAAATTTCGCAAGGCTATATTATCCGCATTTTACAACATTTTGCAACGAAACTTCGGAATATTACTAAATTTGTGATGCTCTTTCAAGCTGTCTTTCCAGACTTGTCTAGATCAAAATTTCATTTAAAAGGGGAAAGGTCTATTAGTATTCTCCTGCAGTCGTATTCAAAACACTCGTTGTCTGATAAAATCTGTGATAAATTGATAATGTCTGATAGTATCTATCTGATAAAACATATTCCTACTCGTGTTTTAAATAGTACTTTACAGTAGTATACCATGCATGTCATGCAATAGTTATAAACTGGCCCTTCCATATTATCCATCCGTGTCAATATTATATTATGAGCATTTATGAGATTCAGTCTAAAGTGATATTATTATTAATTTAGCTATATAAGGTGAATTATGTATTAGATATATAGAGGATATTACACGGCGGCGCGAAGATATGACTTTTTTTAATATCTTCGAGTGGTGACTGAAAACAATATTTTACGAACGAGCGCAGCGAGTGAGTAAAATATTGTTTTTAACACGAGAAGATAAATTTAAAGTCATATCTTCAAGCCACTGTGTAATGTTCTGTTTATTATATAGTCCCAAGCAAAAAATTGTGAAATTTTCGAAAAAGTCACGTGATCGATATCTTAACTACTACTAGAAAATATCTCGCTGTGTATTTTTCAGTATCTCACTCTCTACTATATATATAATAAATTACCATATCAGGAAAGATCAGATTCAACAGTGCAACAAATTTAGCTATCTGCACATAGAATTCCAGTTGAAGCCGGTCGATATGCTAATATTGACTATTACGCCTAGGTTCAATTTGTGACTTCAAATATAGGTGACGAATATCATTACAAATTGTAAATCTCAAAGAAAATTTCCTGAACTATAGATATTGGAAATTAATAGTTGTTTTAGTTCACTAGGACTGATTGATCTGTTTCTTTATTGTATAACCATGAATAAAAACTGATTTTACTCATTTTAGTATGCTCTGTTGTGATTAATTCACATCTCCTTGCCTAGTTTTAAAATTAGTCTGTATATGGGAATTGTCAAGTGTGTAGCGGCAGCCAGATATACTATACATTTACGAGTTATTAACTAAGATTTGTTCCGACTGTTATTTGACTGTGTGAAATATCTCGTGCCATAGGCCTACAAGTTACTTTTGCAGGGGCGGATCCAGCGTTTTGGATGACAGGTTTACTAGGTCGACACAACCACTAGGGGGGTCCGGGGGCATGCACCCCCGGGAAATTTTTAAAATTCGGGCCTCTGAAACAGCATTTCCTGCGTTCTTGCGTCACCTTTTAAATTATTTAATGGTTAGAAAATACATGTTTTTAAGAGAATTTTGGACTAATATACGCAGCTCAAACAATGAATTGAGCCTTTTCGGAAACTTATTAGCTGGTGATAAAAATATAGGATTGGCAAATTGCTGACGCATCGATATTTATTATAAGTACAACAAGTAGAGATGCTTTTATTAGTATAAACATAGTTGTAATTTTAGATCTATACGCTTTCAAACCAACCGCTTTAACAATGAAATAGAAACCAAACTGCAAGAGCGTGAAAGCGTTACAATTATTTCCTGATTCTCTATCGCAAACGCAATGATTCGGTCACGCAATATTATAAGAATTATACACATATTTCGCGCTATAATGAGGGTAGAGTGTGTAGAAGTTACACGTATAAACATCGATACGCTTGTTGACGGATCGATATTTATTACACAGTACTGTAAGTAGAAATAGCTTACAGTTATAACTTTAGACTATATACTTTTAAACAAACCTTCAAAATGAACAAGAAATCCATGTAAATGCTTCTATCGCCAACGCAATTTTCAGTCACGCAAAATTATAAACATATTTCGCGCGTCCTCGAGTTCTGTTAACTTTCATTCCCAGTTTTCTCTAAATACTGCTCGACTCCAGCCTAGTCCCTAGGCCTCTTAGTACGCCTATTGCGCGTTTCTGCATATTAATCAAAAGCGTGCACAGAGGACTTGGGACTAGTCTGGCTCGACTCACAGGTTTATGACCGGTTTACATCCGTCGGAGCGCAGCCGTTTAGCCAATCGAATGGCGTATCGACCGGTTTACTCTCATTGAGAAAACTCTGACCACCGTTTTACTCATAATTGCCGGCGGTTATGTGTGATTCATGCGATGTTTCAGTCCACGACCCACGACGATATATTAGTAGATTATTTGTCTAGTATTACAACATTTCGTAAGAGGAAACCAACGCGATAAGTCCTTAATGAATTAAATGCTTATTATGTAAGTGGGTCTAAATACGCTCGGTAATCCAGAATCAAATTTCAATAAGAGTATTTAAATGGCGTAATAGATTAGACAACATCAAGTTTATGAAACAGAATATTCTTTAAATTAGTTATATATATGTACATGGAAGGTTATAGGTTTTCTTTCTTTGGAAAATCTGACAGGTTTATATAAACCTGTCAAACCTGTCTGAATCCGCCCCTGCTTTTGTTACAAGAACAATTGATGTAAACTGATATTAAATTTAATACGACAATTCATGAACAGAATAATTGATGTAAAAATTAAATTACTAAATATTAATAAAGGCCATAAATAAAAATAGGGACTAAAAACGTTGTTGACAGGGTTGGTAGGCTTTCGCGCATGCACAAAGCCAAATGACCTTTAAAAAAAGGCCAAATTCTACTAAATAAGGCCAAATTTCATTTTTTTGAAAAAAGCCAAAAAAGAGCCAAATCTTATCAATATTTTCGACTTTGCAGTATGTTGAGAGATAAAAATTTTAAATTTTAAAGCAAATTTTGTCATTTTTCGGGACGGACCTCTGCGAAGACATAGCTACCATGTTGTCATTGGTTAGTTTTTCAGCTTTACGATTGGCTGAATTTCCTGAGATTTTACTGAGTGTCAATGAAATGGACCATTTGCATTATAGAGTAAATTTTGATCTAGACAAAAATTTCATCACAGCATGAAAGAGCATCGCAAAATTAGTAATATTCCAAAGTTTCGTTCCGAAATGTTGTAAAATGCGGATAATATAGCCTTGCGAAGTTTGCCGTTTTTCAGTCATTTTGTATTACGCACGGGAAATTGACAGCCCAATCGGGTGTTGGGGCATCAATTTCCCGTTTGTAATCTAAAATGACTGAAAATTGCAAACTTCGCATGGCTATATTATTCGCATTTTACAACATTTCGCAACGAAACTTTGGAATATTACTAATTTTGTGATACTCTTTCAAGCTGTGATGAAATTTTTGTCTAGATCAAAATTTTGTCTATAATGCAAATGGTCCATTAGGTTATCTCTGTCAACGATACCCAATTCTTACATGTTGCTTTATGGTTTAACATTCCTTCACAATAAATTATACTAAAAAATAGTGAAAATTCCTGTCACTTGATAAAAAGCCAAAATAGAGCCAAAAGGCCAAACATTTTTTTCAAGGCCAAACAAGAAATAAAAAAGCCAAAATCGAGTTATTTGGCCGCAAAAAGGCCAAGTTACCAACCCTGGTTGTTGAGGCAGTTTATTTTATACCGAGTATCGTTATTTCTTTTATACGTGTGGTGGCTCTTAGAAGAGCCGTTGTTTTCTTTTTGTCCTTGTTGGACAAATTTACTTTTTGGCGGGCTTTTTCGTCGGAGTCTTCTTTGCTTTTGGTTTCTTCGCGACTTTCTTTGTTGCTGGTTTTGCTTTCTTCTTCGGGCTGGCTCTCTTTGTTTTTGCTTTGGTTGCTTTCTTGCCTGCAGTTTTCTTCTTTCCAGCTGCTGCTTTCTTTTTACGAGGAGATTTAGCTTTTGGTTTTGCCGCTTTCTTCACGCCGGCTTTCTTTGCTGGTCGTTTTGTCACTCGTTTCTTTGCAGCTTTTTTCTTCGCAGGCTTAGCTGGTTTCACGGCACCCAACTTAAATCTCCCAGTTGCACCAGTAGCAGAGGAACGTGCAGGTCTTGCGAGAGCACCAGTTTCGAGACCTCTTTTCAACGCTTTACGAACATGGCTGTTCATCGTATCTGGGTTCACACTCGGATACTTGCCAAGAATGGCTTTGCAAATCGCTTGACGCGATGAGCCATTTCGATCTTTCAGTGTTCCGATGACTTCTCCTACCATATCAAGGAACTTTGGATGGGCTGGTGCTGCCTTTCTTGCTCTTTTTCTTGCTACTGGAGCCGGGGCTGCAACTTGTACTTGTGACATCTTCACTTCTCTTTGCTTTCGAACTTCTTCGTCTTCGATATTTAGGATAATGGATAACCTGTTTTTCAAAAGCTGCGATCGAGTTTCTTTTATAGAGCTTGGGCGGACCTCTGCGAACGCACTAGCAGATCACAACAAGAAGGGTAAAATGACGATGTTCTATGGCGAAACTGTCCTTTTAGAAAAAAATTATTGACGAAATTTTACGCCTTCAGTTCAACTTCCGTCTTTCAAAACATAGATGCAAATTACTATTGTTTTGATAATTTAATTGGGTATGTTTTAAACGTTCTACACTGAAGTTATAAATCAATTTTTCCTTGTTTTCATCAATTTATTTTCGCAGACATAATTTTTACAAAAACATTTTGAAGAAAATGTGTTCATTAATTGAATGATTTATTTCATTGAATCAAACTATTCATAGCTCAGATAACACTTTAACAGTATGGAAAATATTGAGCCATTAATCATTATTTATCTACAAGCATTTTCGTGTTATTTTCAACAAAAAAGCACAAACTAAGTTAGAATGATTGTTTTGTAACAAATAGTTTCTTACTGTTTGATATACAGTCATTGGCCTTCAATTTTAATATATTAAAGTTTCTTGTATAACTTTGCTTTTTCAAGTTATAGGTTTATGTTCTAGCAACCCAAGTCATTGACTGAATTCATATTAATGCACAGTCGAGTGGAACAGGGGGACACTAGAGCTATAAAGCCTAATTCTGGAACTATAGTCTATGACTATATATGCATGAAACGGGAGACGGCTTGTAGAATCTTCATGCAAGCAACTTGAGGATTGTGACTTCAAGTCTGATTCCAATCAATCCAGATACGTCATTTATAGCTACTAGATCCTTTTTCAGAATCAGGAGCTTGACATAAACATGCATAAATGGTTTATTTCTGAAAGAAAAGAAGGCAGAAAAGTTCCAAAGGAATGGCAATAGTCAATAGACCTTTCCCCTTTTGAGTGAAATTTTGATCTAGACAAGTCTGGACAAAAATTTCATCACAGCTTGAAAGAGCATCACAAAATTAGTAATATTCCGAAGTTTCGTTGCGAAATGTTGTAAAATGCGAATAATATAGCCTTGCGAAGTTTGCCGTTTTTCAGTCATTTTGCATTTTATATACAAATGGGAAATTGATAATCAGATGATAAAACTGATTATCAATTTCCCATGCATTTGTAATACAAAATGATTGAAAAACGAAAAACTTCGCAAGGCTATATTATCCTCATTTTACAACATTTTGCAACGAAACTTCGGAATATTACTAATTTTGTGATACTCTTTCAAGCTGTGATGAAATTTGTGTCTAGATCAAAATTTCACTCATTAGGGGAAAGATTTGCACGTCAGCACTTTTATAGCACTAATTAGTCTAATGTTATAATGTATTTAAAAAGCAACTATATATTGGTCATTTGCAATTTTCAGGTCGCTTCATTTTAAGGTAGTTGACTTAGAAAGGACTGCAATATATGGGCGGTTCATTTCTAGTTTATATTAACTTTGGAAAGTCAAGGACAAGGATAATTTGGAATTCATTGACATTGTTATTAACTTATTGTCATTATCATTGATCGTGTGTTGTATTTTTGTGTTGTAGCTTTGAACTTTGTTAAAGTTTGTAACCCTGTCTCGGCTATTGTTTTACAATGTCAATGTAATGTGTATAGGTAGGACTTAATTTGGGACTCTTCAGTCCTGCTGTCTGTACCTTCAATCGTTTTGTTGATTGTAAAGGAAAGGTGGTGATATAACCAATTTGTGCAGTGCCAGTGTTTATGCTGGTTTTCACATACCATTTATGCTGGTTTTCACTTAGGGAAGCCTCACGTATCGATTTTGTCCACGAGAAACGTCATATGTTCGTTTCTCTGGAGAACACCCCCTCCCCACACTCACCCACCCCCTTAAAAACGTCACACATAGACATAGTTACCGATATTTTGTTCTTACTAGTGGTACACATAAGTTAATTTTCCACTATTTTCTACGGTCGGCTATTGGCGATACTTCCGCGAGGAATATGTCATCTGCTGGCATACGTTTTTTTTTTAATTAATATATAAACTTCAAAATTTCCAATGACAGCAATGTTTCTGAAAACAATTTTTTGCCTGAGATATTGACAATTTTAGCGCGTTTTTCCTGAAATTTAAGTGCTTTCAATGCAAGGAAGGCGTAATAATATAAATGTATAGAACAGGTATAGTATTATGAATGTATAGACTGGTGTTTGTATCAAGTTGTTTTCTTTTTTATATTCTTCAAAGATGATTCCGAAATGTTAAAGGCTTTCGAAAAAACTGTCGAATTTTTCCATGATATTTTGCAGAGAAACGTCACAGCTGCAACTCCCCTCCCCACCCTCACCCCCAAACGAACATATGATCGTTTCTCGTGGACGAAATCGATATGTAAGGCTTCCCTTAAATCTATATCAAATATATATTGTGTGAATGATAACGTGTGTCCTGTATTTCCTGATGACGTGTGTCCTTTGACTAGAGCATCCAGGCTGCCTAATATCTGTCCTTACCGCCAAATTCAGTCGTGTGTCAATGTATATGAGTTTTCATTTTATCCAAGAACAATCGTTACCTGGAATCATATCCCATTTAACAATCTTTGCCAATCAACCCCAAGTTCAAAACACTTGCCATGCCTTCAATTAAGTCACTTAACGTAGCTAATTAGTATCGTTTTGAATCGTTTGTATTGCACTATATGTTCGTTTTGCAGTCTCATAGCTGTTGTTGTCGTTGTTGTTATTGTCTTTTGTCGCTTTTGCCATTGTTGTTGTTAATAACATATGACAACATCATTCTATAATCGCCGCCTAATGTCAGGGCCTTTTTAACATACAAGCTGGGGGGGGGGCATTTGCCTCCCAGTCCCCCCTTGTGCCCCCCCCCCCCCAAAATCACATTTTGCCCCCCCCTCCCCAGGAAAAATCCCTTTTCCTAAAATTATACAAACAAACCAGCGAAGAATAACAAAGTTTTAGGCTTTATCTTTGTCCTTGTTTAACAAAATCGATTTAAATTGTTACGTTTTTCTACCACTAAGTAATAATAAGTTATTGTTAATAATTTTTTTATTTTTTGGATGCTCAGAATGCTGGAAATAGCATTTCAGGGTTTCAAATTTCAAACATTTTCTGGGGATTATGCCCCCACACATGTGGCCTTCGGCCATTGGTATTCCCCTCTAATAATTAATGATAAATTACGGTTAATATTCTTTTTTACTTTTTGTGCATTTTTTCCTTCTTTCATTTCAAATACAAGTATAGTTAGCATAAATTTTAGAGCAAATTTGGATGCTCAGAATGCAGGAAATGGCATTTCCGTGCTTCAAATTTCAAAAATTTTCTGGGGGAGTACACCCCCACACACGTGACCATTGTTATCCTCCTCTAATAAGCTGATAAATTATGGTTAATTTTTTTTAACTTTTTGTGCGTTTTTTCCTTCTTTTATTTCAAATACAAGTATAGTTAGCATTAATTTTGGAGCAAATTTGGATGCTCAGAATGCAGGAAATGGCATTTCCGTGCTTCAAATTTCAAAAATTTTCTGGGGGAGTACACCCCCACACTAGGCTTCGACAGATTATGCTACGAAAATAGTGAAATTGTGCTCTAAAAATGCTCAAAAGTTGCTCAAAAGTTGCTCGAAAGTTGAATAAGTTGCTCAAAAGTTGCTCGAAAATTGAAAAAAAGTTGCTCCTAAAATGTCAAAAGTTTCTTGTAAACGAGTGGGTGCAAAGTAACTGATATCACCGTATATTAAACACTGTAGATAAATACAACAATAACAGTTCATAAGTTCTTAACTAACTATAGTTCATAACTATAAAGTCTTATAACAACTTAATGACTAAGAAGCCATGATCAAATCAAATCAGTTAAGATTCATAATAGACATAATAGAACAACATACTGCAGCTATGAATAATCTCTATAGACTCTATTCTATTATAGACTCTATTTCTCAAGTATATGTATTTATAATAGTGCATTACTATTAGGCACATGAACTTTCGTGATACTTTCAAACTGCACCATTGTTGGGTTTGATAAACAGTCATAAAGTGAGCTTGCAAACTGGTCGGAGCTGCCAGCAATTAGCAAATTAATATAACTTGCAGTTATGGGGCCATGGGGGTAATTGTTATGGATGTTTGCAAATGTCAAGCAGACTACCATCAGAATCTCCAAAACTGTAGAAGTAATGGTAAGCTAAAAAGTTTGTCAAATGGCCAAGGATAAGGAAAATATTTTGGAGCCTTGTCGTGCTATTCTTTCATATGACCAAGAAAAAGAGCTTGAAGAGAATATTGATTAATTAAGGGATTCAAGGCTATCAAGCATTTCATTATCTTTCTATAAATAAAATTAGCACTAACATGGTCTATATTGCCAGAAATATCCAAAAATTATGCATTTCCTGGAGGAGGGTCGGAGGAAGTTGCTTGAAGTGGCTGATATCATAAAGAGTTGCTTCAAATGTAAAAAGTTGCCAAAATGTTGCCGAGCATAATCTGTAGAAGCCTACCCCACACACGTGACCATTGTTATCCTCCTCTAATAAGCTGATAAATTATGGTTAATTTATTTTTTTTTGTGCATTTTTCCTTCTTTTATTTCAAATACAAGTATAGTTAGCATTAATTTTGGAGCAAATTTGGATGCTCAGAATGCAGGAAATGGTATTTCCGTGCTTCAAATTTCATAAAATTTTCTGGGGGAGTACACCCCAGACCCCCCTCCCCATTCATGCGTGGTATGTCAGGGCCGTAGGAAGCTCTTTTCGATTGGGGGGACTGAAAGCGAGGGCCGAAGGCCCGAGGAAATTTTTAAATTTAGAGTCTCTAAAATGCCATTTCCTGGACTTTGGGGGAAGATTTAACAGAATTCTGATAGTCAGAAAACAGCGTTTTAGTATGTCGAAATTTACAGGAAAGTATGGGCCAGACTGTAGTATTATAAATGCGCGGCGGGAATTTTCGTCGTAAATGGCAGTTGCGCGGGAATGAAGGCAGAACATTTGAGAAAATTTCGAAAATCTGGAGTCTCTAGATGGTCTGAAATGGCATTTTCAGAGTTTTCTTTCGCAAGACCCAACACGCAAAAGACAAAATAAATCATTAGTTCATCAAAATGTGCAGATTTTGTGGGATTTTCTTGAAAATGCGCGACAGAAATTCAGCTAAAATTTCTACGCGAGGAACGATCTGGAGTATGAGTAATATCTTCATTCTTTGCAGTTTGTCACAGATTAAATGATAAAGTTTGCATGATTTTGAAAAAAGAATGATTATTAGCAAATTATTGGGGGGGCTGCAGCCCCCCCAGCCCCCCCGGTTGCTACGGCCCTGTATGTTGGCCACACACGTGGCCTTCAGCCATTGCTATCCCCTCTAATATATTATCTCACAGAAAGGTCCCTTTTCAAAAAATGCCCCCCCCCCACGGGAAAATCCTTAAAAAAGGCCCTGCCTAATATATGTGTCTTACAGTGATTATGAAGACTTTCTTGTAAATAAATATAAGTATTATCTAGTTTTTCAGTATATATAACTCCTCCTAGTGTAGTATAATACTGTTTTAGGAGTATTTCATTAAAGCATTAAACTTAAAGCATGTGAAGGCGCCATTTTCCTAAAATATATAACAGTGAGATTACAGATTCGACACAATTTCCATAAGGCATATAAATCAAACAATATTTTATATTCTATTCGTTCTCGTTGAGGATAGAATATATCGAAAAATTGTGTATGAAAATTCAAGAAATCAACCTCTGGATACCCTGGGTGCTAGAGGTTCTTCCACGCTCGTAAAGGGGGATAATAGAGGATAGACAACCCTGGCACCCAGGGTAATCTCTGGAGGGCTTTAAAATACGAATCTTTATCTGGGGAAGGACTCCAAGCCCCCCCCCCCGAAAAGTTCTGTCTTTGCAATTCCCCATCACCCAGTTGCCTAGTTGGGTCCATTTTCCTGGCCTTAGGTCATAGAAATAATAGGTCTAATATTTCTATGCCTTAGCCGCGTTAGGCCTACATGTAGGCTAGGTTCCCTGTGTTAGTTGATGCCCACATGGGCCATGGCACATTCCAATTACAAATTCGTTAAATTTTCCTGTTATGGAGTTTGATTCAATAATTGGCAAGAAGGTAATTTTTAGGTAACCCAGTTACACTGAGTACAGCACTGAATAAAAAGCACTTATAAATATATAGAGCTATTCAGCAATCCTTCGCTGTGCAACATGTTTTTTTTTGTGCAGTCATAACATTTCTTTAAAATAATCCCTGCCCTGACGGGTCTTTTAACAATACATGTTTATGACAAGCCCCTGATTTTAGAGACTGAGAATCTAGCAGCTAGTGAAGAATCTGAAAATAGATTGAAAGTTTGAGGGATCGATATGTCCTCACTGAATATGACGAAACCCATTGATTGAATCTCTAAATATTCTTTCATCTGCATCAAAACAAGGGGGGGGGGGTAAGTGAAATTTTGTGAAACCCATTGATTGAATCTCTAAATATTCTTTCATCTGCATTAAAACAACCGGGGGGGGGGGGCTGTAAGTGAAATTTTGCCGAGTCATTTTTACTACTCCATATGACTATATCAAAGTTTTTCCTTATGGGTTTACGTACCGTTACTCGTTTAATTAGTTTCACTTCACTGTTTTTAGTGTTTTTTCTTCCCATCCAATTCATGTTTTGCCGACTGGGATACAGTAATTTGCCGACTACCTGACGACTTGGGTGGCGTGTGTTCCACCCTCCGTCTAGCGCCGCCCCTGCATCAGAGGAATGGACGTACTCCTTTGCACGTGCCCTCAGAGGCGCCGGAATATCGATAATTGGGGGGCAGATATTCATATATTCGTGTTCTGCGCAATTTATTTCTTTTGAAATCGATTGTTTTTACAGTATGTGAACACGAATATATGAATATCTGCCCCCGCAATTATCGATATTCCGGCGGCTCTGCGTGCCCTCCCGCTCAGCTCACGCATCTTCTAACAAAGACTGGATTTTTGGTTGATAGTTGTTTTAATTTTGCAGTATTTAGGGCATCTCACTCGATAACACGCAATTTTCGGGGATGGATTTTCGCACGTGTGATACAGGCTAGGTAATGGTTAGCCTCCTGGGGCCGATTGTTCAAAGCTGGGTTAGCTTAACACTAGGTTAACCTAAAATTCAAAGCAAACTTCCTGACAGTTTGTCTATAAAGAGGGCCCCCTATACCTCTTCACAATATGCTTTCACGTAAAAATATTTTGCCTTTTCACGAGTCACGGATTAAGAAAATCATCGATCACGTTTCACGGCTAAGTAAAATAAGCCCTTCACGCTTCACGCAAAACGTATAAGGGGCCCGATCACGTTTCACGGCGAAGTAAAATAAGCCCTTCACGCTTCACGCAAAAAGTATAGGGGGCCCTCTATAAATTTGGAAAGATTTCTTCAGACTCAGTTCAGAGATCTTGTCTGGATCGATAGGAGTTTCTTCTCTGAAGTTTTGAAATAAACACACGTGCAGAAATATAAACAACCGCCCCCTGGAAAAAATTTGGTTATTACCGCCCTGTTACTGCATAATCAACCGGAGGGGAAGAGTATCAATCCAGGTTTTCGGATTGTCGCGAGATCAGTTTTTTGGAAAATTCAATATGGCGAGCATGAGAGATGTGGATACAGCAATGTGGCTTCACAATAAGTTATCTAGTGACGATATGTGGTCAGGAACCAATATCTGGTCTTTCTTAACTACAGATGTTTTAAGAAATATCCAAGATTGTTTTCATACATTAGATTCTCAAGTGAAAATCAAGCTCCTCATGTCATTTCTCTACATACCAAGGAGAAGTGCCCAGGAGATGAGTTCCGAATTAAATGATATTTTAGAAATAGGTTCTGGTGATTCTGATGATTGGGTAAGAATTCTGTCAGAAATATTGAGAACTTATCCAGAAACTGGGAGTCTAAATATTGATTTGGAAAATGTTAGTCCTGTGTTTGCTGCCATTGTTCAAGATATTAGACAAATATGTAAGTACCACAGACAATGGAAATATTTATGTGTAAGCTTGCCACCATATGCGGTTTGTGGGGTTTTGAGCTGCGAAATAACATAGGAAAGGGGACTATAGTCATGAAAACCAGGTTTTCCCAAGATATTTCATGACCCAAAACCCCACAATTACAGAGTTCCCAATAGAAGCCAGTACCCAGCAATTTTCACCGTCTATATAGCGTAGACAATTGCAGGCTATTTTTCCCGAATATAAACCAAAATATGTCCTGCTTGTGAACGAAATGTCAAGGGAAAGGTTTCTTGCTTTTATTGCTGCCGTAGCGAGCGAGCGTGAAGCGAGCGAGCGAGGCAGCAGTCCTAATCTTTATGTATATGTATATATATATAAGGCAGATGAAATCTCGATCGTTTCGGCGTATTTCGGCCTACCACAATGCACTGCTTCCGGGCCGGGCAGGCTATTCTTGCCTAATAAACAGGCATAAGGCAAACAAGCAATGTGATCATCTTTCATCTTTGGTTTTCTTTTATGGAAAGAGCCATAGCTGGCGTAAGTGATCAAACGGCATTTTGTCGACACGTAGTGGTTCGAGCGTTATACGCGGTGGTTTCGCTATTATACGCAGTGGTTCGAGCATTATACGTGGTGCTTTCGCCATTATACGCGGTGCGTTCGCCATTATACGCAGTGGTTCGAGCATTATACGCGGTGCTTTCGTCATTATACGGGGTGCTTTTAACATAATTTCCATATTCTTTCCATGTATATAATCTCATGATTGCTTAATAAATCTGGTAGGCCTATGTGGCTGTGCTTTTTGCCTCTGGTCTGCAATGACAATGTCAATGACATGCTTTTAAAAAGGTTTATTTATAAAAAGGTGACTGCTCTTTGTGAGTTCTTATATATTATCATATAGTGTTGATTTATTAGTAATAAATATGTGTATATAACATAGGTATATAAATTAATATAACGCAGCGAATGCGCGCCAAGCAGTATAAACGCGGCTGAAATACGATATTAAAATCTTGAATGTGCGGGCTATTTATGTGCCGTATGATTTAATTTAAATATGTTTTAGGATTTAAAGCCTTTAAAAATGCTTTGTCATTTGTATTTGTACTTGTACTTGTACTGCATCACAACGCAGTGCGTAAGTGAACAGATTCAACATGTGAGGTTGTCTTGTGTATATTTTTGTGTCATTGCCCTTTATAATTAACCCCTGGTCTAAATCATATGATTATTGAAGCGGAGCCGTTTTGACCTAGCACCGTATTTGTAGGCAAATTGTCTATATACAATTTTATATACTAGATATCACAGCCATACCTACCATTTTGATCTTTTCCTCGCGTTAGATAAGTTGATAAGTACACTCATTCTTGTTAGCCATCGTACCTGTTCGGCTGTTCCTCTTTCGATACGAAACTCGAGCGCCGAGTTATCATACTGCACATTCAAGTGTATAAATTATTAGGGATGAGCCGATAAGGAAAATTGCCGATTACTGAGGCCGATAATTTATAAGCCGATTATCGTAACTAATCGGCCGATTAATCGGTACCTGCCGATTATTTTAAAAAGCAAGCGAAAAATCACAAGATGACCAACAATGAAGTTGTAAATGCGGTTTTATTGTTTACAATACACACTATGTACTATTAAAAACAGCTTCAATCTTGCATGTCAATAGTCAAAGTTTAGTTTTGGCAGATTATGGTGTAAAAACAGGATATTGTCAGCTATGCGGAGCTAGTCTGCTGCGTTTGTCAGTGGAAATGTTCCCAGCTTCACTTCGCTTGAACAAAATGCAACAAAATGTGAATATCTATTCGCTTGTATTCAGTATTTTAGCATGTGCTTGGCAGCTGCAGAAAAAGTCTTATGGCCGATTATCAGGCAATAATCGGCCGATTACCGATTATTTAAAAACGGCTGATTAATCGGCTTTGCCGATTATTTACCGATTAATCGGCTCATCGCTATAAATTATGGATGATTCCAACGGACCATTCCCCGATTAACCAAAATTTTGAACTCAACAAATCTAGACTTTGCAATTTTCAGTCATTTTAGATTACAAATGGGAGATGGTTACCCGTTACCACTTCTGTGCGTAATACAAATTACAAAATGACTGAAAATTACAAACTTCGCAAGGCTATATTATCCGCATTTTACAACATTTTGCAACGAAACTTTGGAATATTACTAATTTTGTGATGCTCTTTCAAGTTGGGATGAAATTTTTGTTTAGGCTAGTTAAGACCAAATTTTTGGAAAAGTTGTAACCATTTCCCGTTTGTAATCTAAAATGACTGAAAATTGCAAATTTTGCAAGGCTATATTATCCGCATTTTACAACATTTCGCAACGAAACTTTGGAATATTACTAATTTTGCGATGCTCTTTCATGCTATGATGGAATTTTGTCTAGACTTGTTGAGATCAAAATTTTGGTTAATTGGGGAATTGTGATTACAAATATTTCTTACTCTTATTCTTTTTAAAAAATATTAAAGATTTGGGAACAATGCTATACCAAGGCAGCATTCACTACCCTGTGGGTAAACTAGTATCATATTATTTGCTAAAAATATATGGGTATCAAAATCTACAAAACTATTCTACAGAAATGATGGAAGCCCGGGGATGGGGACTTAGACGTTTTCCATCATGGCGATTGGCGGACTATAACAAGGCAGATTTAGCTGGAAAAGATACTGAATTTGTTTGCAAATGGCTTGATACTCATTCTTTGGAATGGTCTTTCAGTACCACTGTCTTTGATCATTGATGAGTAAAATCCTTTTGTCTACATGAAATAGTTTTTCTCCTTCAATGGACAATGATCACTATAAAAAATGATCTATGAGTGCATCGCCAACCATCAGAGCATACGAAACCTGGCTTAAGGTCCAGACACACCGGTGGCGATTCGAGAACGTGACTCGATTTTTTAGTTTTTGAAAGTTAATAAAACAGCCAATGTTTTTTGAGAGAGCAAATTTTAAAAGATATGTGGACCAAATAACTCAAAATGTTATATAATATATAAATATTTAGAAAGTTTAAACTAGGATCAAAGTTATCGGTCAGTGAAAATCGAAAAATCGCATCGCGTTGTCGAATCCTGTTTGGTGTGTCTGGACCTTTAATAAGTAAAGACAATATTTTCAAAGGTTGACATTAATATTATCATAGGTCTAGCTAGATGCGCTGAGGTTAGGGTTGAGAATTTATACAGTGTTGCATTAATATAAAAGCATTTTTATTCTTGTTGTAGAACTTCTTTTTTGTACTTTGCATTTATATTGTCTATAGGCATAGAATTACAATGTGCAAATCAATGTGTACTAAACAGTCCATATTATTGCCCGGGTGTGGGGATATAGACCCAATTTGTTTGCCCAGGGGTGGGGCTTTAGCACAGTTCTTCTTTCCCTGGGGTGGGGACATAGCCATTTTCTTTTCAGAAATGGCCTAGAATTCCCGGGGGATGGGCACTGCTGGAATTGACTGACACATAAATTTCAAAATCTTCATGGGGAGGTCCTCTAACGCCCCTTGGTAAGGTACCTTCTGCACAACATAGCCACTTTCTTCTTTCAAAAATCCTCCTACTTTAAATTATTTTGGGAACCCTGAATGTTATGTGAACCCAATGTTATCTGGGTATATCGTAAATTCAATACAGCAGCTGCTGTGCAATTCCTGTTCACAATAGAAGAGTACAGTACTGAAAGAACTGTATTTCAAGATACTATCATCAAAATATACTAAACCAGTAAAAACATGAATTATCTCAGGTAGTTGGTTGATTGCATGTCCTAATGTAGATTCTCCTGTATCCATGTCACTGAGTGACTACAATCACATGTACTGTACTGTATAAGAGCAGTGTACAAATGCAATGGACAGAAAATGTGGACAAAACAGCATGGGAATCAACATTTCATAATTAACCCATTGAGTGGCAGCACTCTCCCTCTGAATGAGTAAAATTGTCTTGTGTTAGACAGAGTAAAATAATAATGTAGGGCGCATTGCCACTTAAAGGGTTAAAGGCGGTTTTCCAGTCCTCGCACGAAGCAGCTCGCTGCGAGTGCTTGCATCTAATTAAAATTAACTGTTTAGCATTGTGATTGGATGAAAGTGCTGATGCATGCACTCGCAGCGAGCTGCGAGGAGCTTCGTGCGAGGACTGGAAATCCGCCTTAACAGGATGCATGGGCTGATAGTCTGATTAAAGAAAAAGATTGAAAATTTTGCTCAAACAAAACATTTTTTGTTGTTCTTCCTAGACAAGCCAACCCCAGAGTGGCAAAAATTGTGAGTTTAATTTACAAAGTTGTGGGATCTTGTGAAAAACTGTGAGATTTTAGAAATTTCTCAGGTTGTCTTATTATGGATTAAAATATTAAATGCATCAAAAAGTCAGTTCTTTATTTAGCTAAAATATTTAAGATCATGAATGTTGCAGCTAAACGTATATACTCCTCATATCTACTGCGTTTAATTAATATTGCAAGTCTTGGAACAAAATTGAAATTCAGTGTCATTATCACCTCAAAACTGAGCGTGATGTTTCTACAAAACAGATTTCCTCAAAAGTCATGAGATTTAAAGACTTTGTCTTGAGACTGTGACA